ATTTTAACTTCTGAACTGCCTCTAAATTCTTTGCATTGACGGCAAGCACTTCTTGAAAACAAGCTGCTGCTTCTTCATGATCACCCAGAAGAAGATATGCCTCGCCTTTCCTGTAAAGGCACTTCTCATTACGCGAATTAAGTTCAAGACCCTGCATGCATGCCTCGAGACATTCCTGAGGTGATTTCAACTTCAGAAAAGCACACGCTCTGTTCTGATGAAGAACACACTTAAAGTTATTTAATTCAGCGTATTGATCATAGCCGCTAGTTGCGACTCCGAGGCAATCACTAAGCAGATCCGAATACATATTAGCCGCTATACGGTATTTTCCTGCCTAAAACTCAAATTTAAAGAAAACATCAACTCAAACCTTAAGAAGCTCATTGGCCTTTTGCTTCAGGGACTGCATATGTTCCATTTTTTCACGAAAGGTTGAAAAAACAGTCACGCTCTTTCGCTGTTCGCACGATGTGATCTTTACGAGGTAATACAAAATAGAACCTTTGGGTATACCACGTTTCACGGATTCGTAAGACGAAAATGTCATGGGTTCGCGGATCCTAATTCGAGCCTCTTCGCCTTCGCTCATGTAGCACAGAGCACGATCAAGGCCTTCAGGAAGACCGACTTCCTCAAAGTCACCAATGAGAAAACTAACGTCACGATCCTCAAACACCCTTCCATCGCAATAACCCAAAGCGTGGATTTTACATAGAGAGCCAGATCGTGGAGAAATTGCTTCATTCCCATGCACCAGCTGAGTCAGGTAAACAGACCCGTCGAACTTGGGGCTCACATCCTTACCTAGGACGACACAATTAGGAGAAAAGACGTAAATGTACCATAGAAGTCCAATAACTCGATTTCAAACCGACGGGTCTTCCCATCTTGGTACCCGTATCCTGGGGACACAACTAACTCGCAAACTTCACCAAGCTTCATCGAAGGTACAGCAATGTCCCATCCTTTGATTACATGACCTAGACGAAATAAGTAAAGAGCCAACGCTCACCCTCTTCTGACGTGTAGTTGAGGGGCTCGTTCCGGTCTCGACTTGAGTCGAATTTCTCCCCATGCTCGTCTCCACCATGGTAGATACCAACGTAATGTACAACGACAGTTTCGCCTTTAACCGGTGAAATATCTGTATGCCCTTTCTTAATAATCCTTTTTAGAACGCCTCGATCATCAACAAGACTCGTGAAGTTTTCCAAAGGAGAAATATCCTCACACATCCTGATACACGAACTCGATATAGGTATTTGGAACCCGATGCTTCAAGTTCGTTAGCAAAACCTTGAATTCGACTAATCACCAAGCGCAAATAAAAAGAACCGAATTCAACCACTGAGTGAATTCGATGTGAATAGACAAAGAGGAAATAATCTTATAGCTTAGTCAGCAAAACTGACATAAAATATGAAAGCGATATAACGTGAACGGAATCATGTTGCTTTGCTAATTGATGGTCTAATTTAGAAGGTAACTTTGATTTTAACGTAACTGTGAAACGTTTCCATTTTCAAGACCATACGAAAGCTTATCGGTTTAATTATTGCAAATGTGCCCCTCATTTTAATACATAACACGTAAAATTTGGAAAATACAAAGGACCTTCGAATCGATAACGCAAAGAAGCTGTGGCAACGACACTTACACTAAAAAAAAATAGTTGGCCCATTTTGTTTGTCTAATTTGTTGGTGTAGTTTTTGAAGATCTTGAAACAAAACTTTGCACAATATAAGACTGATGAACCGCTTTACATTAAAAGTAGTGTTTCCGAAGCCACACTGATTACAATATATGCAAGAGTGTATTTTAATTTCTAAATTGATTTCGATCAGTCGTTCCAACATGATTTCGCGTCCACTTTAATGTGAATGTTCATCAACGGTATAATATTTCACGGATGGGGGTGAATTTCTGAACATAGCATATCCCTTTATTTGGTTTAAGAATTAAATCAATCAAATTTTGTAAACTAGAGTTGCTGTATCATGACGCCTACTGAATATTGGCACTGCTGAACTCAAGGCTATTGTTTTGGGCTCCCATGCGTTTGTCCGCGTTCCTTGCGAGTTTCAGTAGGATGTCGTTGTCCGAACTGAATAAGCTCTCCCACGAAGTATGAGCTTCACTTTGACCGTATTTTTAGGAACTTTTAGCGAGAAATATCATGTTAGAGGGTCAAGTCGCGGAGTTACGCGAGCAACTCACCAGCATTCACTCATCTGAAGTAAGGGCGAGAAGGAAACCACTGGATTTTTCCAAGTATTCTAAGTTATTTTCACTTTAAGATTTACTAAGCGCCGAGTAGCTCTTAAGCTTTTATACTTGGGGTGGGAGTATAGTGGATTAGCTCGCCAGGAATTAAATAAATCCACTATTGCTGAAAAATTAATTGAGGCCTTTTCTAAATGTCGAATGATTGAGGAATCCAGTGATATTGGCTTTGCGGTATGTGGACGCACAGATAAAGGCGTTAGTGCCCTTTCACAGGTATATGAATACTGTAATTTGAATCGCTTGAAGGTAGTTGCCTTAACGCTCCGATCAAACGTCCACAGTGGGGTTGGTGTCATTGCTCCTGAAGATACCAGTAATTTGTGTAAGTTAGGTTCTTAGTTACTTTCTCGTACTTTTTGTACACTTTGCACCCTCCTTTTTGTAAATCTTGTAGATCCAGAAAAACCGGAAGTAGACTACGTGTTGGTTGGTAATAAAAACCTCCCTCCAGACATCAGGATACTTGCCTGGTGTCCGGTGCCCTTTGACTTTAATCCAAGGCGGGATTGCATCAGTCGCTCCTACAAGTACTTCTTTCCTGCCGCTGATCTAAACGTTGAAACCATGCGGATAGCTGCTTCAAAGTTGATAGGCCAGCATGATTTCCGAAACTTCTGCTCCCCTCAGATCAATAATGGGGTCTTTAATCACGAACGCATTATTTTTGACATTGACATATCTGATGACGATGATGCTAAAACGTAAGCCATATTTGATGAGGTGGTTTGACTCGGACTTTCCTATACACCAAATTATGTAACATTTTGATTGTAGGCGTTTGTGTCTCAGCATGCTAATGATTTATTCTGTGCAGGAATCTACGACGATTCTGCTGTCTAAATATTCGAGGTAGTGCGTTTCTGTATCATCAAATACGCTGCATTGCTTCCCTCCTCATTGCCATTGGACGAGGCCTTGAATCCCCAAATGTATGTTGGCTTTTCTAGCTTACTTCTTCTTACTAGGTGATTGATGCTCTTCTTGACGTGCAGAAGATGCCGGGGAAACCGCAATATCAGATGGCGGAGGGTAGGTATCACTTATTGGTCTGGGATTTATGTATTTTTTTAGCTGAACCCCTTCTTTTCTTCGAGCCAGAGTTCCAGGAAATGGATTGGCAGACGAGTCTAGGTAGATTAAATTATTATTGTCTCATAATCATTTTTAATCAGCTGCCCAGGAGGATGTCTTGAGGAGCATGCAGAAATTGTGGACAAAGTGCACCATAAGGTGATTTGGCTATGCGGTATTTTCACTGTCAGTGAACGTTTGGCGTATATGCTTTTGTCCTTATTGGACTCTTTTTAAGCGAATTATTAAAAGCCTTTCTTTTGACTAAAGATTTTAAGAGTTTATGGAATCACTTTTGGTTGTTCTGTATTGAAGGGCACAAATCGTTGGAGTCATGTTGGAAGCAGTAGAGAGTAAGTTTATCTTCTACCTACTCATTTTTAGTTCGAATGATAGCATATTTGCGGTAATTATTCTTAAAGAAATGTTCCCAGATCGTTTCCAGAATAACTACTTTGCTGCCATCTCCCGCGAGGCACTGTTCTCGGTCGGTCCCAAACGCAAGTCGATTCTCGAGCGTCCCACCGATGAAGCGCTCGAGGAAAAAATACAGAAGCTAGAAGCTAAGCGGCCGAGTACGCATTTCGAGGATACTATAGATGGCTAACACCTGTTGATGTGTAATCATCTACCCTTAAGAGCATGATTTCCTTGACCCTGTGGCATTGTCTTTTTACGGTCTTTGGTTTTGGGGCGTGTGCTGTTATGCCTTTCCGGTGGCGGGGGCGCTGCGCGAGCTTATTTGTATGTGGGCGCGGCGGGGGCTTGCTCGTGGCTGCTCAGCGTCCTCAGAAATTCCGGGGGTTGGCTATTCCCGTCGAGAGAATTTCGCTGTATGGACAAAGGCGTGTGGACTAAGAAGCGAATGCGATCAGAACTCTGGCGGGTTTCTTGGGTTCTCTGCGGGGATTTGGATAACCTAGTAGGGGTTGGGTTGCAAATGTTTTTTTACACTTTATGAAATTACTCAAGTGGAAATGGTAATGAACCATGACAGGTTTAAGTGGTCGGGAAGTTATTTGCAGTATATTATACTGGGTAGGAAGTCAGATCCGAGTTGCCTCATTATTTGCCCTAAAATATGCCTTCTTAGAACTTCTTTCTTTGATTATTGTGATAAACAGAGAAGGGAACCGCAAAGTTTTTAAACAATTCATTGCATTATTTTGCAGCTTGAGTTACGATGAGCATTTAACATCATAACTTTTAATTTGCCGAGATATAATTGGTTGTATATACCGCCTATTTTTGACTCTATGTGTGTCCAATCAATTTCCTCCTTCCGTTGGAATCGGGGTGTGTTTCCACGATCTTTTGTAAGGTCTGAGGATGGTTACGTCAGAAAATGTTGATCAGCAACTTAGAATATTTTACAAAAAGATATTCCCATGTGATTTGCTTTGCAAATGGCTGTCTTGCGGTCCAAAACAGCCATCGGAAACGGTAATGTTTAATAATATGTCTTCATGCAGCTATTGTAGCTTGCTAGGCGAGAGTTCAGCTTCTCTCTCGCTGGTGATGTGTATCTTCGCTATCAAAGTTTTAGTGACCCAGCTTCTCTTCGGAAAGAACTTGTAAGAACCTGTCCCTATAAAATTGACATTGGTGCCGTGTACAGTGCTCCGCCAAAGCTGCAAAGGTCTATGTCTTCGATCTCATTTGTAGTAAGTACTACTGTTGCAGCGTTTTTATGAAAGCCCTTCCTCTTTCAACGCCTATTTTATCTTCGTTCGTTCATATCTACGAGACTTATTAGAGATTTTACACTTTCATTATTCACCACCCTTTGTTATTCCTTGGTTATTTTTACTATAAAGCATTCCTAGGACATTTCCATCACTTGTAAAATATATGTTAAATAGATTTTTTTGCTTCGTGTTATTAACTTCCCGAATTCAGCCCTTTTTGAAGCGCATCTGTTGATCATTTGTTGGTGTCCTTTTTTGGCACATGACAGTTCCAATCATAGGGTGCGGATCGATCCTTGCAATGTTTTACATGTGTTATTACTTTTTTCCAGCCTGAATGGAAGGAGTTGGTTTTTGACATTGATTTGACTGATTACGATGAGACCCGTTTTTGTTGTGGAGCCAAAAATCCTCATTCAAAGACTGCGATATGTCACCACTGCTGGGAATTGGCCAAGTGTGCTGTCATTTGTTTGGATCGGGCCTTACGAATAGATTTCGGCTTTGAGCACATTCTCTGGGTTTACTCCGGTCGGAGAGGTGTTCACTGTTGGGTTTGTGACCCCATTGCCAGGCAATTGGATTCGGCCGGGCGAGCGGCAGTCGCCGAGTACTTAACCATCGTTCACGGTAGTAACGCACGGAAGGTAGCTTGAATGTTGTTCCATGTCCCGTTACCTGATTCTTGATTCAGCAAAAACCGGAATTCTCATCACGTTTTGAACCGATGCTTCATCCATCCATTGAGGCCGCTACAGAGCAGTTAAATTCGCACTTTTTGAAGTACTGCGTTTCGCAGGATATCCTCAGCTCTTACTATCCCGATCGTGTGCGGTGGGTGCTCCAACATCTACCCTCTGATTTGGACAATCAACGAGACAAATTGCTTGAGCAGTGGACTTCTAGCAAGACGAGCAGTACTGATTCGACACTGAAACGTTGGAACACTTTGAAGTGTTTTCTTCAAGCGGAGGGGCGCAATACTATCATCAAAAACATTATTTTGGATACAGTTTATCCTAGGCTAGATATCAATGTCACAACCGGTAGGTTCCGTAACCTCTCTGAGGTCTCTTTAAATTACGGATTATGTTTTATTTGATATGAATTATGCAAATTTTCATTGGTTTGGGGCCTTTGTAAAAGTTATTTTGCTTCATTAAACGTCAGAATGAGTGCTTTCATTTTCCCATTTTTCTATTTGTTTCAGGCCCCAGTCATCTGCTGAAGAGTCCGTTTTGTGTTCATCCGAAGACGAATTTCGTCTGTGTTCCAATTGACCCTCAATTAATCGAGGAGTTCGATCCACTGACCGTGCCACGGTTATGTGACCTGGTTACGCAGCTTTCGCAAGCGAATGCTATTGTTGCATCCGAGGAGGCGGTGCCTCAGCATCTTCTGGCGTACAAGCAGACTGCACTTCGTCCTTACATTGAGTTCTTTGAGCGTTTTGTAAGTCGTCTCGCTGCCTCCATGCAAGTGGATACGAAGGCGGAGAGTGACGTTGACAGAGCTGAGATTCATGGAATATCCACCGTGGCAGTTGTCTAACTAGCTACGTGTCTAACGATGTGCCGTTAAAGTGGCGCGCAATAGATGTACACTTTTATCGTATCTCTCCACATTTTAATTCGATGGGAGTTGGCTATTTTCCAAGTGGTGATTTTGAGAATTCACATTCACATGTTCTTAAGGTTAGGGCCTGGAATGCAACACTCCTGTGCTCACACACTACATTGCCTTTTGCGGTAAAAGGATACATTTTTAGTATGGCCGTGCAACTAGCCATATGCAAACTCCATTTTTACGCAATTTTTTCCCCATTAGCACAGTGCGATTCCATAATGGTTTCCGCCTCGACCTACTCTTAATGCAGAAAATTCGGCCAATGGTGATTTAGGCCGCCAAAGGTTTATAATTAGTACCTAACTATCAATACAGAAGTCCGAGCGTTGTTCTTAAAAGCGTCGAGGCGAGTTCTGCCTGAGTCTTCCTTCACAACAATTTAGAGCTTAGCTGGGGTCCTCGCTTGATCCCACTAATAGCCGTGTAGAACATAATCATCACTCCTCATTCAAAACGTCGGAGTTACGGCAGCTTTATTTTTATTTCAACCAAAAAAGGATTCTGAGGAAAACTGATCAACTAGTCTGCATCACCACTAAACGCGTCCTATAATAAGTGATTATGAGCACAAAATTGTTAGCTCACGTCTCCCAATTGTTCCATGGCGCAGTTGAATATACCTTTCTCGCGAGTGCCCTCTTTAGAAAGAAGTTCCTTGCATAGTTTCAACTTCGTTTCTGCTTCTACGTTCTCAGCATTCACCTCAAGCACTTTCTTGAAACACTTCTCAGCTTCATTGTAGTCATTTTTCATGATATAGGCCAGCCCTCTCCTGAACAAGCACTTTTCATCGCGTGGATCCTTCTTGAGAGCCCAGTCGCAGGCTCTTATGCACTCATTGGGTAGGTTCAGTTTAAGAAGACAAAGCGCACGATTTTGATAAGTGGTACTGCGAATATATTGGTAGTCTTCACGATCACAATTGTGAAATCCCAAACACTCAATAGAGCTATACATGTAATCTGCTAACTTGTATTTCCCGGCCTATAGCACAAGCGAATTAGGTATACAACTTACCTTAAAGAACTCGTTTGCTCTCTTTTTCATGGACAAAAGGGCAGCCATATTTTCTTTGGAACTAGCAGATCTATTGGGGCGCTCCCGTAACTCGCAAGTTTTGATAATTACATTATACCATAAAATTGCATCTTCCGGTATACCGCGTTTTTCACACTCCATTGGTGTAACCAACATCGGTTTAGTCACTTTGAATCTGTACTCTCCACCATCATTACAAGAGAATAATTTTTTACAGAGCCCTTCAGGGAGACGAGAACCGTCAAAGTCACCCATTATAAAACTCTCATCCCGGCAATCAAACAACTCATCATTGCAATAAGCCTCTAGGTGAACTGTTACCTTTTCACCGGGAAGTGGAGAAACATTTCTATTCCCTTCTTTGGTACAGGAAATTAAAATAGGTGAATTGGGACCACAGCAGTTATATGAGCCTATAAAAATATGTATGACAGGATTCCCAAGGTGTACTTTACCATAAAAGTCCACCAGTTCTATTTCATATCGACGAGTTTGTGAATCGTAGTAGGCGTAATCTGGAAACACAATAATTTCACAAATTTCGCCAAGCTTCATACTTTGTGCAACAACATCAAAAGCTTTAATTGGATGACCTATAGCACATAAGTGGAGCATATATACTCACCAAAACCGATTGGAATGCTAATGGGTTTGTTTCTAGCACGACTAGAGTCGAAGAGTTCTCCATGTTTCTCCCCAAAATGATACCAACCAACATAATGCATAACAGCGAAATCAGTAGGAGACGGTGGAAAGGGTGAATGCCCATGCTTTAGAATTTTCTTCAAAATGCCACGGTCAGGAACAATGCTCACAAAACCTTCATACGAAAAATCAATATCATCCATTTTCAGCAGTTAGCACAAACTATCACGAAAAATAACGAAGTTTTTGAATTCGTCAAGGTTTTACAACCTGGCTGTTATGCATTGAAATGACTTCAATAGAAAGGTGAGAGAGAATGAGATCCGGGGACTGCATTAAGGTCCTTAATTGTAGGCTTTTTTTTCATTTTTTGAACGACTTTTATGCATTTGGTCCTGGTTAAAATGAGACACAGGATAAAAACATTGCGCATATGTGTAACCCTCTTTGACAATGTTTAGGTTTTTTTCTAGCGTAAATGTCCGCAAAGTGTTAAAAATCTTACAAACTACATTTGGAGTCTATTTGTAGGATGAATTCAATGAGCCATCTGCAATAACACCTGTTAAACTATGGAAAACTTATAGATTCCGCTTTGTACAATTTTTGACAAGGTTATTTGCAAAATGTTTATAAGCCATAAAGTGTTTTACAAATAAGCAACTTACCTTATTAGCAAGATTTTAACGATGGAACAGATTTTCCGTTTAGCACTTTTCTGTGAATTTGTATTTATCCACAGAGCATAGCATACACGAAGCATCGAGTGATACGTGCGCGCCGACGTTTGATTTTTGTTCCTTGTGTGCCGTAAGCCCATGACAGTTTGGAGTTCAAAGTTCTTTCTTATTTTTGGGTTCCAAGACCAGTGGTTACATCGCCCCGTGTTTTCTCTTCCTGTAGTTAGAATGTGGGAATCAAGTCTTTCCTTCAGAAAGCTCTACAACCGTCTGCTGTATGTTACTGGGCTCTACATTTGCGACCCTTGGGAACAAAGAATGTGCTGTATCCTTACAAAAGTCTATCATGTGTTTTACGATTAGACAGTGTGTGTGATCCGTTTGTGGGCTCCGGAAGTTGTATTTACATCCTGTATATTTTATCTGAGGTTTGGACCTATTTTGATGAATGCTTGAGTTGTTCACATTTCATTTTTTTACCTATGCGCGCTTAAGTTGGCCTTTTATCTCCCATACAGTATGGACTTTTGACTCAAGTGCACTGCTTTGTATCCCATAAGGTTTATTCTATAAGAAGACTTAGTCACATGATCTTTCTTTGCCATATGATCTCCTTTTTTCCTTAATGTTACCTTCTAGTTGCGCTGATGGTTGGTTTTCTCTTAGTTTTGTTGCTATCTGCAATCGTGTTTCTTCCCTCTGATGCGATGGCTTTATACTCCTACGTCCAAAGACGCCGCTCCGTCCAGACCCCTCCGATCGGCCTTTGAATCACAACCGTATTTTGTGCTTCCCTCGAGTTTTTTCAAACAATTACTCTCCCTATTGTACTTTTTACAATGCCTCTGATGAACAACGAATCAGCCCTGCGGGAAGCAGAGTTAGGATGATATTCTAGCAATTCCTTTCCTGTGGGTGAACAGAATTACTAATTGAGTCTAGAAATTGCGTCAGATATGTATTCGGTCGGTACGTTAATTCTGGCTGAATGCGCCCTTTGTTTAAGGATCACTGTGGTGCACTATTGTAGGCTTTATCTCTTCAGCCGGGTCGAGGGTTTTTTTCTATTTTCGCATTTGGTCGAGTGACGTACACGGGGGCAAGTGGGGGTATTTGCTTGCATAGATCTTCTTACCACAATAGTCGCGGTTTGTGATTAAAAATGTCCTTTCCGGCTGGAGACGTAGATCTGTTAACATTGGTGAACACCATTGTCGTTTTAAACGCACTTATTTGTTTCATGCTAGTATTGTACCAAGAGTGTCATCTGTGAATTACGGAACAAGTCGGCAATGGCCCAAATGTTTAAGTAGCACTAAACCATCGGCCAGAATGCTTTCCGACGTTGCTTTGTCGTGTGCCTTATTCGCGGTTTCACGCAATTGTTGACGTGCCACTACACTCGTAAATGATGCGAATGCCGATGATCCGTACCTCGTGATGTCAAAAAAGGCTGAACGCAAATGGTTAAGAACGGTGGGAACGAGAGATTTGTGGATGCGCTCTGGGGACTGCATCTTCACGCTCATGCTCAAAACAGTACTGATCACTAAAAAGCTGCAAGTCGGCGTAAGATCATCGAATGCAGTCATTTTAAAACTACACAAGAATTAGGGTTGCGATAACCCATCAGCACTTGTCTTTAATCCAAACATGGTGGGGTGTTGTCGGTCAGTTTGACACCAATTTCGAGTGCACATGAGCGAGATCTAATGGGTTCCTTTCAGCCGTTAGCACGTACTGCCTTTATTCTGTTTGTACCGTTAAGGATGTTGATTCCTGGCAAGTGAGAAAACTGGTTAACTAGTGGCATCATTCATGATCATCTAATTCATTTCTGCATAAGTGGCTACAGTAGAGAAGCCACACTTTGAAAAGTTTTTGAATGTATGAATATGGAGCAGTATGCTTTGGAGGAAATTGTATCGGTTGACTGCTAGGACATAATGCTGAATTCTGCCTATTAGCTACCCTGATGAATCTCAAGTTATTGTAATACGTTACTTACTCGTACAATTCCCGGTTTTAGTAATGGGCTAATAAGGGGCTTCGGTGTTGTATCTCTGCTGGACGACCTAGCCTCGGGGTTATGCCAGTAGGTACAAGCCCCACTGTGCGCCGACAATATACATTCTGCCCATGTCTTAGACCCAAGTAGGTGTGCATCATATACACTATCGGAGACTTTGGAGCATTGGTGATTAACTAAGAGCATAAAATGATGAATGATTTCGATCCCAACTTTGCAACTTTTTGTTACTAGTAAGTTACTATACATTTGTCTCCTGTTGCTTATTTAACAATTAATACTGCATTTTAGACTTGTGTATGCAATGCTGTAATACCTAGGTTGTTGTGATGTTCCTTTCGGAGAGGAGGCGAAGGTATGCATTGAACCCCGTGACTAAAGGAAAGCGTGGGATGAATGCATCGACAAGCGTAACGGGATTTTCATTTCCAAAATTTCATTTTAGGATGCGTCAAAGTCCACTAATTTTATTATCTTTGCGCTTTTTAGATCAAATAACAGAACTTTGCCTCTAGCATGTGAAGGCGGAACCAGAAATGGGAATTGTCTTGTAAAAGCAGGTGAATCTCACACTGTAAACTAGAAGTCAGTGCAGTACTTACTTTGTTTAAAATGTCCCTTTCAGAGAGGGTACAGGATACGAATCAAAAACCTCGACTGAGAAGTCAACGTCCTACAACCCGGAGGAAGGTTCCGTGTCCAAAACTACCTGACCCTGTACCCGCTCTCCCCATTTACTTATTCAAATAAAAATGACAAAACCGAATCAACCTGAGCTTTCTAAGAATATGAGGGCCAGGGAGGAGGGGATGTACCAGCCCCGCCCCACATGGGTAAAGTGTTTTAAGAGGAGGCATATTGCACCGCCTCAGTATGAACGGTTTTGCGCACACGCTTTGCCAGTGGATGCAAATGTTTTGGATGATATAGGTTGAAGTCACATTTAATTGCGGTGCTTAAATAGTATGAATAATAACGCGTCTGATCTCACGACCACATAAGTCTCTGTAAAATGCGCTTCCGCAAAGCATCATGTCCTTCGGGCAGTGTCACTAGCCTCGCAGCCCTTATGTAATACTTATGTTGTTTTAAAGTACCTTTCAGGGAGGAGGCAAGTTGGCAATGCGAATCTGGTGAGAGGGTCGTCGCCTTCCGCCGTGCCAAGGTGTGATTTCGGTTCCTCCCCTCCCTAAACGTTGTACTTATCCTCTCGATCATTTTCCCTTAATAAATGTCAAAATTAAATCAACTGGGTTGTTCTAAGAATACTAGGAACGTCGAAGAGGAGTTTGGTGAGTTGCCCTGAACTTATGTAATACGATAGTGGTTTATCCCTCGGTTCTGGTGAGGCGCCACTTTTGTACTTTGAGCTAGCCCCCTTGTACCTCGCTGGGTGGGCTGGCCTTTGGGCCATGCCAGTAGCCCAGACACCTTCTCCGTGCTAAATATATATATTCTGCACTAGTAGTGTGTCTTCTTTCGTCTTCAGGGAGTCTCGAGGCGTTACACTTAAGTATGGCAGTTAGGTAATTTATGCCAGGCTACTACTTCTTATGATATCCCCAAAGGCTCATGGGCCTAAAGAATAGATGTGGAATCACAAAAGCCGACAAAATTCTAGTTCGATAGGACGATTCATCACATTTCATTTCTCGATACATTTAAAAGCCTGTTATTCATAGGCATAGTTGCACCAGGACTATCTGTAAGTACACATTTCAAGGTAAATAAACAGAACTATGATGCGTTTTTTTCAGATTTCACATTTCTATAAAGGGATCATAGTGGGCTTGGCAGCATTTGGAAGTACTGAGTGATTGCATCAGGTTGCAATGCTGAAAATATGTTATAACAATTTAGTGCCGGGTTTTTTTTTGACGTCAGAAAATACCTAAAAATTGTTGTGAATTATTTTTTCTGATGTTGAAAATGCTTGTTGTTTAAGAAGACACCTGCTTGACGAATTGATTCGAAAATTAACTTCGGGTATGCCTTTCCGTTGTTCTGCATGATTCATTGTTTCTATGTTCTATGGCTTTTATTGACAATCAGGACAGGAATTCTGACAACTGCCAGCTGTGTAACCAGCCCTTCAATTCTTGGTCAGCAGAGCGGATTCAGTTACACGAAGAAGCGTGTTCTCAAAGAAAAGTTAGGGAAGATTTGAGATTTATTTCTCGAAGGCTCAAAAGTTGTCTAGGTGCCCAGTGTGCTCGAGGGACTTATTGACTTCTGTAAATATTACTTCGTTGTATATTTTTAGACTGCGCTCGAGCACATCAGGGCTTGTGCTAAGTTTTTGAATGTTTCACCACCTGACATTCTTCTAAATGGGAGTAATCTATCTATTGAAAATAAAATAAGGTAGAGTAATTACGGGAAAGTATGCATTTTTATAATAAGGTAACTGACCTCCCAACATAATGAATGAGTGACTATTCTCTTTCTTTTCAGGCCACGCTCTTCACATAGTCTAAAAGGGAAGTCATATTCACGTGCGCAAAGAATTGACAAAACCAAAAAGAAATGTGGCAAAATAAGTGTATTATCCATTGATCACCTTCTAATTTCGGTGGAAAATAGGCGAGTAATATTCCTGGATCGCCTCTCTCGCATTCTTAATGTAATTTTTGCTCCATATTTGCTAAAAGCCTTTTTTTCTTCTCATATTTTATGTGCTACTTTTCTTGCAGGAGTATCCTGAGGGAGTCCCACTCTGCTATAAAAATCGCAACATTGTCCTTTCATCTGATCTTTGGAATTTGGCTGCACTTTCTTCTAACCTCGAGTCTCTGTCGGACCTAAATCAATTCTACGTAAAATCGCTTTCCCCTCTTATTATTCCTGCTCAAAAAAAGCAAAACTTCAATCGTTTACGTTTATCACAAATCCCTGGTAGAGGTCCGTCTGCTTCTCGACTGACACCCGGTTCTTTCACGCTTCCTCGATCAGAGGTATGGATCTTGGTTGAGTGTTTCATATTATGCAGCATATTCTTTGTAGGGTTGCATCTGTTTTTCCGTAATTGTTAATTAGGTTTTGCAAATGAGTATCACCACCCGGAGTTTTTAGGCATTTAAGGCAACTCTCATAAATGCTTTCTTGCTTCCAAGATGGAGAGAATTGATGGAGTCGGTAAAAGCCTCTTTCTGGAGATGCTATCTCGGATGGTGGACAGTCCTGTTTGCTCAGATTTGTTTATTTATTTGGATTCTGGTATACCTGTTTCCGCCCATCGTTTCATCTTGGCCGCGTGGAATCCTAAACTGGTTCTCCTGGAGGTTGTCAATAAGTTATCTGTCGATTTATTCTTCATATAGTTTCTTATACGAAACGGTTAATATTTCAGGAAAATACTTCCTCCATTAATGCTCCTGGAATGAGTAAAGAGGAACTGCTTGGGCTTTTACGAGCTCTCTACACATTTGACCTATCTTTTCTCTCTTCTCTATCACCTGAAGCTGAGTTTACACTCGACTGGTAAGTCATCTTTTGTCCTCCTACTTGATATGTTCACTCCTTGTACCAAACCACTCGCCTTTCGTATAGTTGGCAAATGTTGGACGCTGTGCGTAACAGGATTCAGTCTAATACTGCCTCCAGTCTTGTTGATAATCCTGCTGTGGACTCCGGAGGAGATGCAAATTTCTTAAATGCTCCGGGACTTGTCCTTACTCCCTTCTTCGGCAAAAAGATGGCCAATTCTCACGAAGGTGGCGGGTCTGATAGCTCGGTGGACTTATTCGCATCCATGACAGATGACGCACCCTCTGGTCTTCTTAAATGGAATACTGTAAGAAAATGTATGCAATGCGTGCAATTGGAGTGACGCTTTCTACTCTTCTATTCAAAAATATCTCTAGGTCGCAGCATCTCATTCGACGCCTCACCTCCATCCTTCACTAGGGATCGATGTCCTCGAACCAATCAACAGGGTCAGCAATCACCTATTTTTTGGCACTTTATTTTATGCCCTCCTGATCAAAAGTCCGCGCCTCTTTCGGTATGGCTCATGGCTGTTGCCTACTGTAACTTGCGAGGATCTGTAAGATGCACGAGGTAGTTCGCATGCATGAATTATAACGCATAGATGGGCTACGGTTTATTATGGGTACTTTTTTTGTAGTCTGTTGCTCCTCCGTTACTGTAAACAGTCTTAAAATGTCCGTTGGGTGTAGTGCAGTTCGAGCTTGTTTGCTCTACATGTCGGATTGCAGAAGCTAGCTTCCCCTTAACTTGGTTATATAGCATTTGGAGATGTGTCATTCAGAAATGGTTTATGTAAATAATTTGATTTTGGAGATGATCGCTTTCGGGAAGATTCCCTATTCCTGACGCTTAAAAATTGCTTGGCATTATTGACTCCATCAACTTCTTTTTTGCTTCCACTTTGAGATTGAGTTGAGGAATGGCTTTACCGTTCCGACGTTTGTTAAGCAACTGAACAAATCACCAGTCATTTCCGAACTTCTAAGGCACGCACCACTTCAACCTTAGAGGATTATCTCTGCCTTGTGTGCGGGTGTAGCGCACTGCAGATGCCATTATTCGCCCTGACTTTCTGGTTGAATTTGAAACAGCAGTTATGCCAAATTATCTATCATACAACTCAAATTAACTCGGTGTACTAAAATATTCCTTCGGGGAAGACTCCGACTTCCATTCTTATTCTTACATGGCAACGCCGCATGGTGTCATATTGCGCTGAAAAATGACTCTAGAGAAGTCTTGCACTTTATTTGGGGTGGGGAAGAGGTAAGCAGACCGCTTCCTATTTTCTTAACTGTCTATACTCGTCTGACAGGACTTGTCTAGGTGATTTTTATCAATGTTTTACGTATGCATTAAATAATTTCATGGACACGTGTAAAATAGGGCAGAAAGTTGGCAATAAATCTATCGAGAGAGATATTGGGATGGCCAATGGAATGTTTTTTTTTGCTTATAGACACAACATTTCGTATGAATGGAGGGTACAGCAAACTTGCATATCATTGAGAAATGACTGCCTATTGTGATGGTATTATTTCAACATATGTCTGCTTTCTGTGCTTCCATTTAGCCTTTAGACTCTTGCCCAGCATCTGGAAATGCACCGAAAAATAACATGGACCCGGAAAGTGCAGTTATTGCAGATGAGGTTTGTGAAAAGTTTGTCTTTCGAAAGGCACTTTGACGGTCATACCGTTCTGTGAGTTAAATGTGCTATTCTTCTTTTCACAACGTTAACGCGGATTTCCACACGATTAATTGGGCCACATACTCGCCTGTCCCTTCTCTTTTTTGTACAAAGTAAATACCTCCAATTGTCACTTTTCCCTCAATGCAGCTCTGCCACTCGCCCTACCAATCAGTGGAACCCGATATTGATCCTCCGGCTTTCTTTGAGGGGTATGATACTTCCCGCCTATCTGTGGCATTGCCTTCCTTACCATTTTCAGAACAGGTGAGTCAAATTTTAACTGTTTTCATTTTTTGAATCTTTTGTCAGGCACACGTTTCCTCTGATCCTTAGCGACTTTTGGTACACATTCGAGTTACTGAACACGTTACATAGAATGAATGAAAGGCTTTCAGTATTTGAAAGTCAGGAGAAATAGGCATGTTGGGGTTTGTGAGTGCTTGAGTTGATTCATCATTCCATTGTAGAGGGTTACCAAACATCCTGATTATGCTCACACCCCGTTAACACTCAACCCGTCACGAAATGGGACTTCTGATCACTGCTTCCTTTTTGATGGCTCCGTGCCAACACCTGCCCCACTGGCGAAGCGTCTTCAGGCTTCTGCGGATTCAACAGAGGTGGGCACTGGCTTCTCATTTTCCTCACAGCCTCTGGTGATCTCAAGTGACAAAGGCGAGACAGGAAGTGATAATAGTAATGATGATGATGACTGTCAATTTCCTGCTTGTTTCTCCCAACCTGTTCCTACCACACCCGCAAATGGTCGTCGAACATCCTCTATCATTACAACCAATGCTCCCATCACCCCCAAACCAGCTTTTGATGAAATGAGGACACCCGAGTTGAGGGTAATCAAGTTGCTCCTAATCCTTGATCTCTGCTCTATTACCTCCTGCCATCCATGTTGGTTTCATTTGTTGCCCAGAAAGCCCTCTCTGACTACGGGGTTCGTCGTCTCCCGAAGAAAAAGGCCATCCAATTGCTCAATCACATCTACGATGAGCTGCACCCATGTATGTGTTAAGTCATTGTTACCGTGTTTGTTTTCAAGTCAGTTACGTTAAAAAATTCGGTGCTTTTTTCTCTTATCCCAAACATGCCAGACGTCGAAGCACCCCCAATTCTCGATGATAATGAATCTAAGATGGAACTTCAACCTGCAGAGGCTTCACTTGGTGATTGTGCAGCAGGCGTCACTTCTGATAAGGCTGTAATTGCAATGAAACCTGCCTCCAATCCTCCGGTAAATCTTCTGGAAGTCCCATTACCGAAATTTGTCCTTTTTTAATGCACATTCACACTACAAAGCTGACTCACTAGAATTCCGCCCAAAAACTAAGATGAAAGGCTTATCTTCAGATCAAGTGTCCACTATCTACTTCACTGTTTAAAACCCAACCCTTCTGTCTACATTACATCATAGATTTGTGGAACTGAGCTGTGGGCGCGTCGACTTATTGTGGCGACTTAATGAATGGAAAGCTATCCTGGGTGAATTATGCTTTAAAAGCTCAACCTTACCACTTTTCCAAGGGTTCTATTTCCCCACCTAAGGCCATCGTTGAATGTACGATGGCTGCTTCCTCTTCATCCGCGAAAAATGTCGCGGAATAATTTCTCCATCCACTGAGTTTGTCCTTCTAGGTGGCCTTTTGCAAATGGTGTGTCCGTTGCATTGGTGCGGACATTTTGGAACCTTTTGGTCCATTTAGAAACGAAATTTGGGGAAAATGTGTGTTTTGAATGCCTACTAGGGAAGGTTTATTTTTACTCCTGGCGTATCATGCCTCAACCCGTCTAACGGAAGCGGGCTCTACTGCAAGCTAAGACAACGAATTATCACTACTCTTGCACTACCTCTCGCATTCGACGCCTCCAACAAAAACGTTCCAGCATCCTTCATGAGATGGTTCTTTAATGACGACAGTAAAGGTAGACTGCATCGGCCGGCGCGATTTTTTCGATTTTCATTGTCAGTATTGGTTAATTGTTGGGATCTTTGTAAGATTCACTCCCCTTTTTAGGCTTCCACCTCGGACCAAGGTGCTTTAGAAGCCAGCGCTGATCCAGACCAGGAGGTCAGTTCACCGTTACTAAGTCGTTTTTACAAAGCCTGCAATGGTGTTTTAATGAATGATCCTGCCTCAAGTACTTCCGCCCATTTCTAGACTCCGAATGATACACTCAGACCTCGGGTGTGGGAATGCCTACGCAGCAATGACCACTTGTACTTCAATATCGTGACCTATGTTGTAAGTTCCCTTTTAACTACCAGTGATCTACATCTGTTTCACTTGATACCAGCCCCTGGAGTTGGACTGTGTCAAAGCCATGCTTCGTGAAGCCGGTATAAACGTCGGCCTCCGACGCCTATCAGACATGCTTGACAGCTGGGTGCGTAATACCACGGTCATAGCTATTGCCATTAAAGAACCAATTGTTGTATCGCCTTTATACTCCCATTGATTAGGGAGTCACCTTCACAACGCGAAGTCGACACGCTCCTAGGCCTGGAACCAATGCCTCCGACCCACGAGCCGCGAATTATTTGTGGTGAGGATACGCTGCTCAGTGTAAAATTTATCCCCTTTTTTGTACAGGAGAAAGCCCCTCATATTATTGATACCGACGCGAGCTTTTGTTTCCTTTTAAATTAACGGTTTGGTCTTAAGAACAAGCTTAGAGTAGATAAAATTCAAATGAAACAACTGAAGAAGAGGTGTCCGGCGGGCAGGTTAGAGGCCAGAACTGGAGGAGGAAAAAAGAACAATACGTGGAATGCGTACGATCATGTATCACAGTAGAATTGGTTGTCTGTTGTTCAACCTAGGAGATCCATTATATCGGAGTTGGAAAGGATGGGGGTTTTGCTACTCTGGGTACTTTGTACGGGTTGGCTGAAGGCCGAGGGCGCCATGGGTCGTCCATACATTGTGGAGGTGGGGGGTAATTGCAATTGATTGTTACCTTGGCGGAAGAACATGTTTCCGCCGTTGAATGATGTGTTGGTGGAGTCTGGGTAGGGATAGTCTGGCTGTTGTGGGGATTTGATACTTCCACCGAGACCGCCAAAGGGAGCAGTGGAGTTTTGCACCATTGGTGGGAAGGCAGATTGGTTGGCGGTCCGATTCCAATCAAGGGAGAGATTTGAATTAATCAACAAATCTAGAAGTGTCAAACATAAGCAAGTTACCTGGGTTCCGTGCATCTGTCTGCTTGAATGCTACAATAGAAGCTCCCGACCCTCTGCCTGTCCCTTTGACATTGGCGAGGATCGCTTACTTGAAAGAGGCAGTTCTGATAACTGAAATTAAACTTCACGATGCATAATAGCCTCCCGACGGGGTTCCACTGCAGGCGGATCATCCCGATCATTGCAAATAAGAAAAGGACTTATGGAGGGAAGTGGGTTCTACTCAACCCTCATCATATGTAAAGATGTCCTAGCAAGTCCGTGCTTCACTTCAAAATTTACTTTCGTGACAAATATCATGGACCAACAGAGTGTTCGCAGAAGTGAGAAAACTCCAGTCTCGTAGTAAGTAATAACTTCAAATAATGCAGAACTATAGGTGACAAAACTTCGAAGGGGTTATTTACTCACGAAGAAAACAGATCGAGCGACTGCTTACTTGGCAGTGAAGAGGCCACTTACCCGAGAGATTGGTGGAAGTAGGCTCAGGGCGGGGTGGTGGAGCTGCCTTAGGTGTGAGTAGGCTGGGCTGCTGTTTCAGACGCTCCAACTGTTCCAAGTCGGCCGCGCGTTTCTTCGCCCCCAGGCTTAGGTGCGCCTGCTGGGGCTGGAGTGCAAGCGTGCCTGGCGCATTGGGCTCCTCGGTCGCCGGATTCTTTGCTCCACCCTCAGCAGTGGGAATCATGCGTGTGGGTGAAGTACTCACGCCGGTCAAAGAGAGCATAATGGAACTGACCTGAAGATCACAAATTAAAATTAACTATTTAAGCAAAGCAGTCGACTTAACTGATATCAGTAGCACGCCGTATAAAAGTGATACCAGTTTTCACGAAAACTACATACATCCACATCCGTCTGGTAAACAGTCATTTAAGTAAATGCTTATAAGAGGCAAATCTTACCATTTCAGAGGCCGTGCCATCCAACTTCAGTGATGGTGAGACAAACGCTCTGTTAAAAAGCAAAAGTTTGGTTTTACAACGGTCAACGTACCCCAGGCAAGTTGAAAGGAGCAACGAGCTTACGCAGCATCTTCGCCAAGACTGTGCATTTCGATCAGCTTGGCACGCTGCTCCGTTTCAATAGCGGTGAACATTTCTCTCACTAGGTCGGCAAACGCTGCGTGCTGAAGTGGTGTGAGATTGCAATCCATCGACAACTGCAGCAGATGCGGAATGGATTTGGAGGCAAGAAAGTCGCGTGAGATGCCCAATTTCTTGTGACTGAATGCTATCTGGTAGATCGCTAACAGGGGGGAAGGGGAAGCAGAGGAATGCATTTAGTCGGCTTAATTTGAAGTCAACCTTGTTGAAGGGAAACCAGATTCTGCCAATCATCTTCCCACTTGACAATAATGTGCCAGTATTCATCAAGCTGATAGATTAATCTACTTGGTTTGTTGGGTCATTTTTAAACTGATCTAATGAAAAGGATCAAAAAGTTGTCAAGGATGATCGGAGATGAATTCAATCTTCATTGTAGTCTCAAAAGGTCGTAGTGAATGCCCTTTATTGCAGTCTTAGAAAACGCGAAACAATTGTGGATAGGTCTTACAAACTCAAGGAGAAGGGAGCCTACCTAGTACCGCAACAAGAATTTTTGACTCTCGAGAGCGTATTTCCGTTAAGAAGGTGAGAATATCGTCCATAACACTCCATCTGTCCAAATATTCAAGTAATTTGGCCATGCACACTAGTACCTCCAAACGCATCTAATAAAGGAGAATGAGAAGGAAAATAAAGACTGATACATGAGGCATTAGATTAGAGAAATCAAATTACGTTAACAAGGTCCACCCGAAAGTAAACTTTCTTTAGACGTGGAACGATGTTGCTCTTCAACACACTGAAGTCCATCAGTTGAGCCACCTCTGGAAGACCTTGTAGACACAACTCCTACAAACAAATCAATTATACACAATCAAGAGGTGCGGATTAATTACAACGATACAACAGTAGCTCCAATCATGGGCTCGCTTGGACGATTGAAAGGTTAGAATTGAGTACTGCAGAGCATTAATTTATCACTCGATGGTACGATCAACCGCATAGGCGGTATCACTTGGAAAAAATTATGAACAAAGCATGAACAAGCCAGAAGTCATCGCGAAAAACGCCTCCAAGCAAAGACATGACTGAGAAGATTTAGAAATCCAGAGTAGACACGACTCTGTAATGCCTATTATTTTGTACAAATTGGGACAAAAAGCTAGCCTTATAGGAGGCCTAATAGTTAAATAGTTTGAAGAAGTTATGCAATTAGGAGTCGCCCGGGCAAAAGTGCGGAACAACACATTGCGAGGGCGCATATTGAGCTATTATTTTAACCTTAATAGGGGAAAAAACTGCTATAGCTAGCTGCAACGACTCAAAAAATCCATACAACTGTTTGTTCAGGTGAACTACGCAGCATAGGCGGGAGTTACCTCATCAACATGCTACTCTTTATCGCAATAAGTAGTATCTCCTTCTAGTCAAATAAATTGTGTAGAGTCGGGTTTATAGAACAACAGCACAACGCCTGGAACCAAATGGTCAGGACTGATGAAGTACACGAAAAAGAGATACGTCCATTTGAGGAAGACTATGAGTAATGAAACAATTTGTCTACACCCACGTCAACTGGGAAAAGAACTAGAGAGAACCTGTTAGACTGATTGTCAGCTTACTGGCTCACTTGAGACGAAAAATGGATTTCATATTCGGAACCTAACATTAGCTACCTCCTAATTATCCACTCACTGCCTACTCCACACTTTAAGGCATGCATTAATCCATCCTCAAAAGTCTATGCTTTGTATGAGGATGCTGCATTGCGGTTCCGCGCACTGAAGAAAATAATTGCATCTGGGATAACTCTACTCTACGTAGTCCAACACAACCTCGAAAGATGATTATAAATAGTCGATCAGGAAAAATGGCGCTCCATTCCTACTCGTACAGGACAACTTAAGATCTGCCTCGTGTCACACATGGCACAGCTTAGCTGGGAGATTTTCCAGTCACGACTGTCGCCTTTTCTTGACACTTGCAGCAGAAAATCTGACAATCACGTGTGAAGCAAAGTAGCCAGTTAGAGGGTAAAGCTATCAAAAGACTAAGGTAGATGACTATTTCCCCATTCTTTATCTCTAAATCCAAAACGTTCTACCAACGTGGAATTTGGAGCATACCTGTATCCCGCTTAAAAGGGTTAAAAAGGAGTAAATCCAATCATTAAGTTCTAAATCTCAGCATTTTCGCAGTTACTTTAGTTTTGCCAAAAAAGGCACCAGACGATCTTAGCTGATTTCCTCCCAGATCCTGGCTTGCGTAGCACTCCTTGGTACACAAAAAACGCATGCTGCATGAATTCTGGGGATTCAAAAACCCCGTGGTCAAGCATTAAGCAGGGTTCTGCCAGTATAGGTAATATAACTTACAAGAGTTGGAGTGACATCTGAGTCGAGGGCAGAATTGAGTACAGGTAGCGCGTAGGTTTTGAAGTCACTTAGTGAGAGCTTAGCCACTAGGATACCCAAGTTTTGCAGCAACACCTGAACCACCTGTGGTATCATTCCAAAAGAGTTTAAGCGATTACTTATCACACACCCACAGCACTGAAGGAACGCAAAATATTCAAAGTTCCATGCAAAATAGAGGGCCAACAAAGTTCATGAAAAGTGGTCGTTAGGAGACGAACCTGAATGGGTTCATGTACAGCAAGGACATGTTTAAATCTTGGCATAATGTAGGTGGCGACCTCTTCACGACTGACTATATCGATTATTTGGAGGATGGAGGGGAGTACAAACGGGATCATACTCTTGTTCGGGAACTCCTGCGACAGTTGGGGAAAGACCCTATGCAGGTTGATTCGCTAAAAAGTGGCTATTTAGAGGAGAGAAATAAAGTCCAACCGGTGGTAAACTTTTGATAGAGTTGGGTAGATTTCTGTAGAACTTCGATCGAGCCAGATTATCCATCTGGTAGAGGTCATCGAGGCTCCTCAAACATGTCACGTTAGCGTCATCTAGGAAAGGCGACTACATTGGAAGATATAAAATAACTAAGCACTTTCAAATCGTTGTCATTTAGTGACCAAACGAATGTGAAATGATTACTTACCTTCAAAATTTCATGTGCATCTGGTCGAATATCAATGTCGGGTTGAAGGAGCATCTTCACGTAATCTCGAATACTCGGTGGAATGTTGGCAAGGATATGCGGAGAAAGGGGTTTCAGCTGTTAATAAAGGTTAAGGAGAAAGGGATAATGACAGTCCTGGAATAAGTGTAACTCATTTGGTATGGGAATCCGAATTGCTAACAAAACAAAGAATGAAATTCATGGTATAAGAATATATGTACCAGTGTATTCGAAAATTTGATCACTAACATAACATGGGGAATTAAAAAATGATATTCAAAGCACAAATATACGTACCTTCTTAACAGCCTCCCGATAGGCGCCATAACTCTCATGACAATTGATAAGCGACACTCCGTCGTTATAGATAGCGTGAATTAACACTCCGATAGAGAACATATCACTAGCTGCATATCCTCTGCCCTGAATAGTTTAAGAATAATAGACGCCTTTGGGTGCAGGACAACATCAATATGTTTTGCCTTATCTACAAGGCAGCGCCGCAAAAATGATGTAAGAACACATTTGCACAAAACGCCGGTAAAATACCCCTGCGATCTGCTTTGTAGCTATTTTACAAGCACAATAATATAGTGCATTCTGAAGACCTCAAAGCAATGTAAACAAATAAATTGTGAAATGACAGTAATAGAATTGAGTGTCACCGCCGTTGGCTAATACAATGAGTGCAATTAATAATGCATCCAACAATATAATCCGTGATAAAAGTTACAGTAAAAGTAAGCAGCAATTCAGAAGTTTTTGCAAGTCATACAATGTTGTTCATTACAGAGGTTTCGATAAATGAATAAATTAAGGCATTCCAAATCACTTCTTGATTGTTCCAATAAGTGAAACAACTGAAAAATGAGGATTCAAAGAGTTTTTAAACCGAAACACAAGTACTATGCGTAATGTAGACAGCTCATGGCATTAGGGACAAACCTCAATAACGACTTCAGGGGCACAGAAGTCGAGATGGGGTTGACAAAGTGAAGGGACGGAGGATTGCCAGGAGGGAATGTCGACACCCTCACCATCATTTCCTTCGCAGGCAAACTCGAAACCGCAGAGTTTCCAGGAGCCAAGACGGTTCACTACAATTGACTCCGGAGATACATTCAAATGAAATCGGTGTCCCTCCCGGTGGATGAACGTTAGCGCCTCGCAGATCTACACAAAGAATCATGCAACAGGGAAACATCCCAATGAGTATTTCGAAGCAAATTGTGATAATTGAGAACGTCCTACCTGAATTATACCATATTTCAGTTCCGTTTCCGTAAACTTGAAATTGTTCAGTTTTTCAATGACCGGTCTGCTAAGATTGGTGACTTTCCCAAGGGCATTGGACAGGGAAGTGAAAAGTGATTCAGTTGCAAAGCCGAGGCTTTCACGTGACTCCTCCAGAGGATGAACAACAGAAAGAATCCGAGGATGTCGGAAGCGAGTAAGGGCTGCAACACCCTGTTTCAATTTTTCTAAAATCATTTCCCTTTCGCGCTTTGAAAAACGTTCGAGCGCTTTCTTTTCGAATATCCATACCGTTGCTGCCTATTAGCAGGTAATTTGTACTTAACGAAATCCACCTCTTTTGAAGATCTTTTAGTTGCCGAGTAAAGCTTCCACAAAAGACCCGGTCCCGATGAGCCAACTTGCTCTTCAAGATCAAACTCCCTTGAGACCTGATTTCCGGGTAGAGCACTGGAAACAGTGTTGCGTAGTCTATTTATGACGCTATCCATTCCTGTTATCAATAAAGAATGTGAAAAACCGCTTGGGCAAAAGCGTCAGGCTGCTTATGAGACGAAATGTGCAAATTTACCGTAAAACACCTCATAATCTTAAACATCCTTTTGATGATATCATAAGTGGAAAGATCCAACGCATAGGAAGTGGCGCATATAAGGCAGATTATGGGAACACACAGACGGATATCAAAATATTAATGTATACCGAAGAAGACAATAACGCAAATACTTCTTAATCATATAAGCCATTTCAAACAATACGTTTTATGTATAAGTATACCCGCCATATTTATTTGACCACTAAAAATGGCACGGTTAAAAAGTTAACAAAGATTCAATTATGACCTTTATCAATAATCAGAGGCTGCGAAAACTCATGAAAGCATCCATCTCACTGACGAAGAAGTATAAACACCTAGATTCATGTACCAAATCGACTTTGAAAAAACACGTATTACCACACCAAGGAAGAGTCAAGGTCATATCAGTGCAACTTCCACACGATAAGTTTTTTTAAATTAATCCTTAAAAAGCACTTTGAAAGCCAGTTAAAACAATTTTTTGTAAAACCAATTTTAGTATTTTAATCTCCGTGTTTTGGTTGGAATTTGGACCTTTCCCTAATGCTGTCAAACTTCCTATCGTATATTATCGACATGCAGAGAAGTTAGAAAGCCATAAGCTCCTTCGGAAGACCGTTTCTGCTTAGTACGAGACTAAGGAACTTATGAATTCAAACTACCGCAAACTTGTATTTTGTGCCACCTACCTGCCTGGATGTATTTCCTCTGACTGAATAAAACTGCATTCTATCGTGCTCGCTTCTATAGACGAAATTCGGGTTGAAAAACTGCATTCGAAGTCAAAAATAAGCCACTTCGTACCACCAGACCGTCTACATTTAGTACCAAAATTGATACTGTGCTCTGGCCAGAAAAATTTCCACGCCAATAGATGTGGTCCCAAATAGTAGTTTTATGTGCATGATCCACAACCAGCTCAAGCACAGGGTACAAGTAGGCTGCAATCCCACCACCTAATTCCCGCATTCATAACGCCACTCCGCGCCAGCGTAACGATCCTATTCAACACAACCCTTGAAGTGGTTCCCACAATCACCAAAATTCAGCAACAGGTACGGAGCCACCGGACTCTGAAACCCACCATGCATGCGCTATAAACTGCAACAGACCAACCGCACAGTCAGCAGCGATTGACGAGCCCTCCACTATTTAAACTGCCCCCCTTCCGCGTTTCTTTTACACAAAGACAGTGCGCCCATAAACCAGCGATTTGATAAAAAAACCTGCAACAGAAGCTAAAAATGTGTTGACGTTGAGAGTGGACATTGATGCGACAATGAGTCTGAAACAGCAGACTATTTACTTCCGCCAATGCAGGACTTGGAACCAGTGGGTGGGAAGTGGGGAGATGTATGCGTGATCGAGTTTGTTGCGAGCCCCTAGGCTACATATTCATAGGCGGAGAGATTGCTCGGATCTCGCCTGATGAAATCACGCTCGATCAGGGAATTAATGCACAGCTAAAAAAAGAACCCAGTGTAAGACAAGAGTACTTAACTGCTAAGTGCGTAATACGTAATAAGTACATAAGAACAACTGGTAGCTAAAACGTACTTTGATTTGCTGAATAACAGGACAAAAGCGGGAAGACATTTGTTCAATAACTTCTTTCACCAATTGCTGATGCTCCATCCTCTTTCGCATCTTCATTATCCGAACAACACAGGCCTTAAAGAGGATGAATATAGTGTCACCCTCGGAAACTACGCTTTGAAAACCATAGATTTGTGTTTGACAGGAAATGGTTATTTACTTGGACAGAGATCTGATAATAAAAGCTTTACGTCGTTAAAACTACAAACAAGGATTACTGCTAATACCGAATTGGAAGGAGCTGCAAAAAGAGCTATCAAACACAGGAAAAAGAGTTGTGTTTACCTGAATACCGAGTTTGCGATCACATTCAACATTGTGAAGGGTCGTCTCTGCCTCCTGCTTAGTTTCACTCTTCATTGGCAGATTGAGGTTCACACGAACACGTTTACTAAAGCGCGAGCAGAGTAGTAAGTGTGAGGGCTGGAGACCATCTATTACTATCACGAAGTGGGACACAAAGAACTATTTCTCTTAGAACGTGGCATTAGAGCCACAAATAAACTCGAAGTGGGGCTCACTTTAACACGCTCAGTGCCTCGAATACCCCAGGCCAACTGACTACAACAGTCCAGATATTTTACTGATCTAACAATGACTCTAACGTTTGATTAATCAGGCCGCAGCTCAAACACTTAAGCAGAGATCTTGCATCCCTTCCATCATGGCATAAAATAGGAGGGTTTCGCATTCCTGTGATTTTCAGTACATTTCTAAGCCCAGATAAAGAGGTTAAAGTGGCACAAACACGTAAAGACACAAGCAAATGTCATCCTAGCATGACAAAAGTCACGGTAGGGTGTGCCTTAATGAGATAGCCGCATGATGCACTAGAAGATTGCTACTACTATTGCTGATACTGATAGAAGTCCCTGGCGAAATTTGTAAACTCCAAACAATATCAATGAAAGCCTACTTGTTGTAATCCATAAAGAGAGTGAGCTGAGAATCGGGGCTGAGGGGAGGCGTGGAGGTGACGATGCCGTCGTCATCCATCTGATGTCTCTGTTCCTCCTCCTCATCATTTGAAGTAATCTTCAAAATACGCCCCTTGAGGAAGATTTGGAGGATCTGATTCAGTATACTAGGGTCAATGTTCGTCTGTGATTGTATCTGGCTCACGGTGTAGGAGAGGGAGGTATTGAAGAGCATAAGAATTGCCATCTGATAAGTGGACACCTGAAAAAGTGTGAATTAAAGTTATTTCTCAAAGAGACAGAGAAATCTCAACAAGCATTAGTCGGGAAGATGAGGAGAAAAGGTTAAAAAAGTAGGACACACAAATATGACAATAAGTGGAAGCATCCTGAGGAGGAGAGTACAAATAAGAGTCAAGTTTGAGTTAACCCACTTGAAATGTGTATCGCATTTTGGTGTAGTGAGCCACAACCTCACCACGACAGAGCTGATAACACCAGGTCAACTTGCGTCCGTCGTGACGAGTCTGATAGAACTCCGTGAAAACTTTGAAGCAACTCTCCAACTGAAGGGATGGCGAAAATGATATTGAAGATCGAGTCAGCATAGGGGATAGAGATGGAATACGGGGAGACCACTTACCTCTGCGGGAACATTAATTGTGCCAAGTGGTTGGAATGGCCAGGCGTTTGAGCTAAGCACCATGATGTTGAAGTCAACTAGAAATGATCAGAATATTGGATACACTAGTAGGAGCATTTCTAATTGTAAGCACATTTCTTACTAATGATGGAAGCTAGACTTTCAATCAAAGCACGTCAGTTGAGAAGGAATCTTATCCTTCAATAGCAAAAAACACTAAAAAACAATGGTTCTACTAGACGAACAATGAAAATCAACTTTTGACGGTAGATGCTGGGAGCATGAATGCCACACAAACAACGTAGAGTACACTACTTAAAAAAGTAGTTTAAAACTCCAAAGCAACAAATGAATTGACAAAATTATCCCCTCTGTTATTTGTAATTCTCACACACAACCGGCTGGAAGATGAAGAAGGTGATTCTGCAGCATGAATAAACGAACTTAGAACACCTCTGCCAACTGATCTAGTCCTTTCAAAGCAGAGAAACAAAAATTACTTAGCGCAAAGAGTACAAGGAACAAATTCAAAGCGTGATCACATACCACCACACAGAAGAGGTGTTCGTTCACCGATCCATTCTATGAAACGTGCATTGAGTTCTCGGCTCGAGCTCACATCCTGGAACATTCGTTGTAGCTTGGACGTATACTCAACGCCGCAAGCATTTTTAAGGAGAGAGATCATTTGGGCCTCCGCGTCCTCTGAAATTGATTGATTGTTCACAAGACGACGAGCCAGCATGTTGGAGTAGAATTTCTGGAACACATCCTTATCCTCTACATACTTGAAGACATCCATCTAGGATGCAGGAAGGAAGGAGAGTAGTGATGAAATAGTGCAACACCATGATTCTATTAATGCTACGAATAAAGAGAAGCAGACGATAACTGTAACTCAGACCGTAACCTTAGCCTACGGAGTGGAAACAGAAGCCTGGACACCAATAAAAAGGATACATAACTAAACTCTTGATACACTATAAAAGCAATAGCAACTCACATCAAGTTCTACGTATACGTGTGATGGACTTGAGGACTTAGTACATACATACATACAACGCCTTTTTGCCTTTCAGTTTACAATAACAACAATTTTCATGTGGCAAACAAATTAATTGAATTTACAACAATAAAAATATGTAGGATGACCTTTACCTGGGTATAATTACATTTTTGTCTCAATTTCTGAAGACATAACGTTAAACAGAATACCTACCCAACGATCACCAAACATGAGCTGTGGAGATCGGTTTTCTTCCCCGACTCTAATATCTGATGAGTAATATCTCAAAAATTCCTCTCCCCACAGAAAGGAAAACCACAAATATGAATTTTACAAAAAACAACCCTGTCACATCATCCCTTGAAGAGGGTAAAATCAAAAATCACTTTTGAGCAAAGGACAACTTTCCAAATTAAACGCAAAAAAAGAGTTGGGTTCCAACTGTCAAAGGAGCATGAGAATTGTTGATTGAAGTTATTGACTACAGAGAGACTTTCAAATTTGTAATTAAAACTTGATTGAACGACATTGAAAACTGATTTCCATTTAGCGAAAAAAAAAATCACGCAAACACACCACATAGTTCAGTGTCTTCTCCAAATCATCAGGTTGAGCTTCTTTCGTGCTAAAAAATAGGAAAACAAAACCTACGTCACAAAGATAAATTTATTGTTTTTCCCTAAAGGACAATTATCAATCATATGGATTATCTTTGCTATTCTAAAGGATAGGCTACCGCAGCGCTAGATCTACAGCAAGAAATCAACTATCAAACCTAATAATAGTACGCGCGACCAAATTCAAGCAGTTGTAAAGGCGATGGAGAGGGTAGAAAACTTTGGTGCTAGACATGCACTAAAATGAACTGACTGAAGAAACCAATCGAATTCAGCCAGCAGGCGCCATTCCCTCTGCGCACATATCAGGTGGAAGAAAAGGGGGTAGTGCATTGGGGATGAAAAGGGCCTACCTCTTTTTAAGTAGGAAATCACTGTACTTTGCCAGAAGCTCCGGCGTTTTGCGAGAACTCCCAGCGAGTTCTGTAATGGCATTTCGATTTATGTAACGCTCACAGCCCTTGTCAATTGCCCGTCCAAAGGAGGGGTTGCCGGAAAAAGCCAGTTCCAGAAGCTCTTGGTTCTTACGTTGGACCCTTATTATGGTATCAACGAAAACTTTGGGGTTCTCAAAGAGAAGTTAAAACGCAGTAGTCAAAAGGAGTCCTCAAGATACAAACGCGTGTTAAATATGAAAAGCGTACTGATTTGGCAATTTGACAGACATCTTTCAATGCTGCGGTGCCAACCTCGTCGACATATAACTCCATCGTCTGAACTAGACGGGCTTCTCCCTCTTCGAAGCGAATCAAAGCTTTGTACATCCTCGCTAAATCTTCCATTAAAAATGGGATTTCAGTATAGTTAAATAGATGTATTATTAACAAATTACAGGTTTAAAACAATGTACCATCGATTCTATTATCTTTCAGGAGGCCTTGAAACTCAGCTGCAAGCGTTTCAATGTGATTACCGATAAGGCTATCTTCAACCGTCTTTATCAATTCATTTAACGTGCTTGAATGGAGATAGGTTCGAGCCCTTGTTCGTTCCTCCTCTAAACGTGCTTCGACCTTAAGAAGCCATGCGTCATCATAAAACGTGACAGTACGTAAACCAATGGAGAAAAGCCCACTTACCCATTTCAAATAGTCTGTAACCGAACTGGATTTTAAAAATTGATTACTCTCAACCTCATAAAAATGCATTGTTTCGTGGAGAAATGGTTGTTCAAAATGGTCTCGATAAATTGGAAGACCTTGCCTCCAGTCCAAAGGTGTGTGTGGATCACCGGATAGGTAAGGTGTAGGCGGAGGCACGCCGCTTTGCATCTGAAGTGAAGTCAATTCGCAATCAATGAGGAGCCGAGATCTTACAATGGGCAAAAAATGGGCCACTACTATCGGGCTAATGCTACATTAGGTCGAGAAATACATCACCTCTTAAGCAAAAAGTAACCGAATGAGTTAAGTAACCGAAATGACTGGTAACGAAAATTTTCGATAAGCCATGTAATGAACTAAGCAGTACCTGAAGTTCAGCGATGAATGGAGGAGGCGAATAATGAGGATGTTGCTCAGAGGTAATGCAAAGGTCAACGAGACTGCTAATGATAGTACACAGTCTGGTAGCAGCTATGTTATCGCCCCTTCGCTCACGTTCAATCTCACTAAGAACAGCAGACATGAGAGCTCTGCTACAAGGTTTGAAAAGCTCATCTTTCCAAAGCATCAAAGCAAGCTAAAAGGAAATTTCGACGGTTTAAACAAACTTCCCACGTAGAAATGCAAAGATTTGCATGGAATATGTTCATAACGCATGTAAAATCCGCTGATATAATGATAAAATCAATCACAGAATAGAAAATGATGCAAGAGGCATAAAAAAGACTAAAGTGGGTGCAGGTGGTTCAAAGACCTACAGAATATACAATCACGACATCCTTTTGGCCTTCATCGACTTTAGTCTTCACCCAGTTGCGATTAAGATAATTACAACGGTGATCTATGTACTTGGCGGCAAGAGAGTAGTTCGTCCATCGTTTCTCAAAAAAATTAAGCAAATCTGAACCAGTCATACGCTCAGCTTTCTAGGAAAAAATAACAAAATTACTGAGAATTCAATACCAGTTTAAGTGACTGAACATGCTGCTTGAAGAAGCATCTGAGTTTTTTGTACAATTCGTATCCGATGACTTTGCTGTTTTCACCGACGCCACACGTATCGACGCTGATACAGTAACCATACACGTAGTTACATATTGATGCATGCTCCGTCTTGGATAAACCATCCATATTAAGCATTTTATCAAAAAGAGGCTTTAATACTTTCCAAAGATCGGCCAATCTGTCATATTTAGACATCATCCTGACCGTACTCCCTCCCAAAGTAACGAACAACACAATAAGCGAATAACCAGCTCGCAAGTCGTAGCATCAAAAAATGCGCTTTACTCATCCGGCCATCATAACTAGCAAAAACCATGAACTTCAAATGTGTAAATAAGTAGGTTTAGCAAACAGTTTAAAAGTATTTAGCAAATTTAAGGTGTTTACACGAGCAAGGGACAATTAATTATATCTTGCGAAACATCTACTACAACAAAAAGGCTCCTAGTAAATAATTTATAAGTCAAAAATTTAAAAAAGAAACCGTATCAGTCTATGACAGTTTTATAATTACCCAATCACCTACTTATCAATTGACAGTAACTTTCCTTTTTTGCTGACTTTTGTCATACCTATATTTACAATTCTTTTGAGCAAAATATCTTTTTAATTAGATGAGGAGGAGCTATGCGACAAATTGACCACCCTATAATTTTCGTTATTTTCGTATCACCATATCTGATCTCTAATTTCATGTATACCCTTGGTAATATGCTATAATCTACGCTGAAATGTGGTCTCAGAGTCGTTTTAGTGCAACTGGTTACGATCAAGCCTGTACACTTTGTGCGCTCTTTACATACCTGGTAGATGAGGGTTTTGGAATTGTATTCCGGTATTGGTGGTATGCGCGCCGCCCTTGAGCGTAGGTTTCCCTAGTGTTTATCTTCTCAGTTTCTGGTCTGCCTTTTGAAATAACTAGGGCTTTGGATGTTAATGACTTGGCTAATTCCGTGTACAATAGTGCATATAATTGTTCAGATGCCTCAAACCGAGCACTAGAAGTAACTGTAGTTCGAGTAACATTTGAAGAGTTTATCTGAAGAAGAGTGCCTTCTTTTCGGTGCTGATCTGTGGACTATGAGTCCACCTTGTCAACCTTTTACAAGAACGGGCAACCAGAAACGAGGTAAAGATACCAGATGCTCCTCCTTACTAATTATCATCCAGTTGATACGGCGGTACGGATGAATTGTGATTATCCTCTTCGTAGAATTAAACCGCCTGCAGTAATACTGGAAAATGTAAAAGGCTTTGAAGGGTCGGATGCGTGGCGCATTATCCTAGAGGCACTTATTGCGTGTGACTATGACGTACGAGTAAGTGATCGGCATATCACTTAGCAAAAGGCAGCAGTTTCTACTAACACCGCTTCAATTTGGTATTCCGAATTGTCGATTGCGATACTACCTCGTCGCGCGGCTTCGAACGCATAGTAAACAACGCATGTTCAGTTTTGGGACCAGTGTTGACGATCTGAAGGGGTCTTTCGAGGAACTCGCTTCTGCTGTTATACGTACACCCCCATGCGACGTGTCACCAATGCCTAATTGTGAATGTGTTGTATGCACAAACAAGGTTGGGTAGGTTTTCTCCATAGCAATGAACTGAATATTGCCAAAATAACTTGTAAATACTAAAACCAGTCCCTTCATAGGATACCGTCAGAACTCTGCTGGTACATGCTAACTTTTTGTACTTTTTAGTGGCATAGCATCAACTGAGAATCATTTCTTGGAGTACATCCCTTTCTGCCGCCCAATTGCGGATTACCTGCTTCCCGAGTGCGAAATCCCAGTATGGTTTTCAAAACCGGCCTGACTGTTTTTTAGGAAAACTTGTTTTTGGGTCAAAATGAATTGGAGAAGTACTACACTATCCTGGACATTGTTACCCCAGAGAACCGAAAAAGCGCCTGCTTCACCAAGGGCTACGCACAACGATTTGAGGGAACGGGTTCCTTTTTGGAAGTACCTCAGGTATTACTAAGTTTCAGTCTATTATGCCCGAAGTAGCTAGGTTAGCTACTAACACCGTTTTTTTCTTGAAGCCACCACATAGCAATTCGACGTCTTTTCCCAAGATAAGAGCATTCCACTCGAAGGAGATAGCCAGGTTACTCTGTTTCCCCGAGTATTTCGGTAGGCATAGTTTTGTGTTTCCTTCATTGTACTCAATATTTGGTATGCAAACTTCCCGCTCTGCAGATTTCCCGGCGACTGTGAGCGAAAAGCAAAGGAGACGGCTTCTTGGAAATAGTTTAAATGTGCTTGTAGTGGCCCACATCATGAATTGGGCGTTTTCGACAGTGTAATCTTTTCTTGGTTAGTACAATTATTACCACTCTGAATAAGAATTCCATTTGTGTCTTGCAAACTTTCAGCAAGTGAAAAAGAATGCAAACACCATTTATTGTGTAGACAGGAATAGGTGCTTGTATTTCTCAGACCACTCTCTAGCCGTTATTTTCTGGGGAAGAATATCGGAAAGGAAGGAGTACCGATCAAATCTAGTTTGCAGTTCAGACAGCTGGTGGTAACCTATTTCGTTGCGATCCCGTGGGTTGGACAGGGTGACTAGCTCCTTGATAAACAGTTCCTAAAGACGGTAAGTATGAAAGCTTTGACAAACCGTCGCTTTGATCATAGATATAACGGACTCGGTGCTGACGCATTCGACGTCTGGTGAGCTTTTCATCATTGTTCGCATTCTTGATGGAGAAATGCACAGGGGCAATTCGCTCATTTCATCTCTGTACTCTGTGTCCTGCATAGTGTTGGGTTCAAAGAGGCCGCGTTAAAGACGAGTGCCTAAAACGATTCCCTAACGTGGGTTCGTGAATCGTCACTTGGGCCGCAGGATGAGTGTTGTGGGTTGGTGCTGAAGGGGGGCGTGAAACCCTGGTTCTGGGAATCCGTAATTGGTTCCGCTAAATCCGTTCACAGTATAGGTTTGGGAAAAAGCTGTGGTGGTGATATGCGTCTCCAACATGCCCCAACGGGAATTACTTGGAACATGAGCTTTAATAGAGCAATATCCCTTTTTTAGTTCTACGTGTTTTGCAATTCACAAGCTGTTAAAGGTTAAAATGACTATCTTTCCAAGGTCCGAACTCGAGCAGCAGGTTTTAAATTTCAATTTCTTTAAAAAATTTGGCCTATAAACAGTGCGGTAGAGATTTTATTTGATAAACTTTTCCAAAGGCGTAAACTCGTTTTATATCCTTTTATTTTTTTCATGTTTTATTAGGTTAAAGAGCGTTTGATTAAATCACGAAGGTCAGCATGCTTCAGCGGGCCACAGCTTTTGGTGGTACCTTTCCGACTTCCGTGCGTAAGTTTATACGAACCATTGAACGCAAGTTAGCATCGATGGCGAGTGTGGAGGTGGGAAAAAAATGTGCGGCCTATAAGGCAGTTGATGAGTGGCTTATGGTTAGCACATTCTGTGATTTACGCACTCCTATTAGGATGAACAGGTTGTTGGTATCGGTAGTGGCACGACGGTCGTGTATGCTGTAGAAAGAATAGGTAAGTTGATTCGGATTTAATATATTTTTCTAGCGGAGCTGGTTACAAAGCATCAATATAAAATTCAGTGCATACCAACATCCTATCAAGTAATGTCTTGCATTTTTCTTATATTATCACCCTGAAGGCTCTTCAGTTAATAAAGGCAGCTAAACTGCCTCTTACCTCTTTGACAGACCATCCTTTGGTACTTTTGGCAGCCAGTCATTGGTTTCTTCTAGTTGGATGTTGCCTTTGACGGAGTTGATGAGATTACTCGTGAATTTGCATCTATCAAAGGCGGTGGTGGTTGCCTTATTCAAGAAAAGATAGTCGATGCAAATGCCAAGTACTTCATCGCGGTAGCCGATGAGGGGTTAGTTAATGAAATAAATCATTGCGGTTGTTGTAATTTAACTACCCTTCTACTTATTTAGTTATGTGGAACAGGTATTGCACTACAGTTTTAAATCCATCTGCATGGTGCTTTATAAATTCTAGTAAGCTGTCAAAATACCTTGGTGAACATTGGGCTCGCGGACTCCCAATTGAAGTTATTCCTATTGCAGCGACTCCGATTAAACTGGAAATTGAGAAGAGATTCGGTGGCGAAGTCAATATAAGAATGGGAGTCGCAAAAATGGTAAGTTGTGCAAGGTTGTGAATTGTTATTCTGGCTCTGCCCTTTTCTTTGCTAGATTTACTTCCACGTGGGCTGATTTGGTTTGCCTTTTTAGGGTCCAGTTATTAGTGATAATGGAAACTTTATTATGGATTGGAAATTTGAGCCCACTCCATCAATTGATTGGCAGCAGATAAATGTGGAGCTTCACATGATTCCTGGTGAGCAGTTTAAAGCTATGAGAATGTTTCACAGGTGCCGAGACATGCTCTAACGTAAGCTCGTCACGTTTGCTCTGGTTTTGCATTCAGAGGAGCCTTATATTTACCAACTGGATTAATCATTTATTCGTCTTAGACAGGTATTTTAACACCCCACATCAATCTTCACTATCCCCATATATGCTGTGAAGTGTACTAAAAATAATTTTGATGCTTAAAGCGTGTATATTGTCGAGTACTACTGCCGATCTTCCAATGTTCTTTTGTTTAAATCCTACTTAAGTAAGTGGTATTGACAAGTACTCTTTTCTTGCTTTTCTAGGAGTTGTTGGCACTGGTCTCTTCCTAGGCACAGCTCACCAAGCTTATTTGGGCACGACGGATGGAAGAGTCTCAGTATTGAAAAATCCCAATGGCTAGCATCTCAAACTCCTCTGCATCTTTTTAGTCAATTCAGGTACTTCAAATACATTGCTAAAATGCCTTCAAGAAATTCGCTCCCATATGTCATGCATTCATACGAACGGAGGGTTTGGATTTTTTGGCACACTTTTCTACGATCAGATGATTGTGTAGAGCTTCGGCTAATTAGGAACCCAAACAACGGTAACTCTGCAGCTGATATGAAGAATATGAGTGGGAAGATCTCCCCTCAAAGAGCTGCCTACTCTTGCATTTCGAAAGGAGTTACCCATGAAGTCTATGCGTGGTTTTTGCACCTAAGAGCTTTACGATAACACTGAATGTTAGGAGAGCTTACGCAGCAATTTTGAAAAGGTACGTTTCCACAATAGAGTGCAACAAATGCGTGCCCGAGGTATGTGAACAGAAATTACCACTTACCCACCGGAAGCGGAAGTGCTCCCCTCTTTTCGTTCTATACCAAAACGCATTTCCTTCTTTCGGTAATGTTTTACTTTTCTGAATGATAAGAACTGTACAAAGAGGAGAACGATTGACAAGTCAGGAGAGAGGGTAGTTCTTCAATGCTTGGTGGAAGGGAGAGGCGCCGTTGGGCAGTTGTGAGGCGCACAAGTTGATTGAACCAGAACATCGCCTGCACACACGCAAAGAAGCACTTCTCTGTCCTCGTCAGATGATGCAGCCTCGGCAAGCTATCCGCGTCGCCCTTCACCAAGTCCAAACTTTTGGGGGATGCATCTGGTTGAAATGAAAGTTGGGGCTCATGTTAATACATCGCAGAAACGTACAACAATGCAAGTTGCGATGCAGGCAAAGTGGTTTGCTGGCTGCCAGTTTTTCGCACGCTATTTTTACCGATAAAAAACTATGATAGAGAGAGCAAAATGTCGAGAGCGTAAGGGACGACGTTCCACCTGCTGGTAATAAGCTGACCTAATCTTGGAAAGGCAACCATCCTCATTTCCTTGGATAATTATCAAGCACTTAAGTTATCTTTTGAGATAAGTCCATTTTAGAGACGGTCAGTCTCCCCGAGATGGACTAAGTAGTAAACAATGAGTTAATCAGAGAAAAGGTATGTATGGGTACAGATCTTACACAGTGAATCTGTGAATGTAAGAGATCACTTCTGAAAGAGAGTTGGTCCTTGATTTTAGGCCTTAATGAATAAAATACCCAATAGGTGTAGTGTGTACCAATAGTGAATCAACTGTAAACACAATAATACACCCGGTTCCCTTTCGCTTTCACCTGCATCATACTAGTGAGCAAACCATGACAGAAAAAAAGCGGGCGAAGACCCAACTTTTAGCTCCCAAAATGACTAAACGAAAAGTTTTGTCATTCCATTCACCTATGGGTACATAAAAAAATCAAAAGAAGCGACTCACGGCACATAGGTGGACCTTCTCGGCCTTGTACTAACAACAAACGTACCATTGAGATCGGAAAGGACGACCGATTTGAGAGTGACAATGCGTCTCACTAGGATGTCGCGATGTCTCGATCCACCGGCCAAGGTGACAGCCTCGGCCAGAGCTGCCATGGCACTGAGGAGGATAGCAGCCAGGCGATGGCCAATGCTTGGAAAGGCGGACCCCAGGCGACAAAAAGCTGGCCCACAAGCTATCAAAAGGGATGCCATCTCCTCCAAGCTGGCCAGATCTTTTGAGCAGATAAAAATAATTAGACACCCGCCATTTATCGTCTTACAAAAGCAGTTTGTATCCAATCGTATTGCGAACATATTGGCCAGGTTCCAAACAAAAAAACTAAACTTGGGATGCTCTGTGTTTGAGAAGCCGTTGAATATGTCAGTTCCGTGGTGTAGATGTTGCTGCCGTATTAGGTTATTAAAATATCTTGGCTGCGACGACAGCTTCTTCTGTAACTCTCAGTCTGTGAACTAAGCGATGCTTTGCATGACAACCGAAGTAGCTAACCATTGTCACACCTTATGTATACCCTGCTGCCATTCAAACGTTGTTACTTTATAGGCTCTGAAGACGCATCCAATGAAGTATGAAATATCTCCTGCACAAAACAATCACTATCTGCCTAGCAAAATTTTACATAAACCATTTGTAAAGCGAGGTTGATAAGAACTCACGAGTAAATATGAAATGCATAACCTCAACGGCATACGTGGCAAGATTGAGCATTGAAGTAAAGGTGCAATGCAAAGCGAGATGGGAGACAAAGTCCAGACAGAAGACCTGACGCGACAAAACAGGAGAAAATTGAAATCTCGACGATTCCGTTTTTGTACAAAGCGAATACAATACTCACTACATCTTCCAGACTTCCGCTCTTTACAAAAACCTCCAGTACAGTGTCCGCGCAGACTTGAATGGACGGTATGGCCCGGGTCGCTAGCGGATTTAATGATCTCGGGTAAGTCTACAAAAAACGTATGATCGCATAGGAACTGCTAATTTGGTGGTCATTTGAGGAAATTGCGCCTGCATAAAAAGGTGGATGAAGGACCATCTTCCTCCCCTTCACTCAAGCGGGGGACATGGGAAAGGAGTAAGACATGGCTATGGGGTTGCGCTTTGATGGGCTACTCACCTGCCAAAAGACAACCTTCGCCAAATTTGGATCACCGATGAAGAGAAAGTGGATGAAAGCACAAATTATATTTTGAACTTCACGTAAATCCGTGACCTCGGAATTCAAACGCTGGAAGATAAAACGAGTAATCATGCAGTGTATCAACCTGTGTCAATACTGCCTGACTATAAGCACAAAACTCTAGCCTCTCAATACCAAAGCATTTGCTACCAGAATAAGTTAAACATTCCCACAGTGGAGACAACTTTCCCGAGCCCACCTTTTCCTCAGCAGTGGGCAGACAGAATTCCAGCAGGAGCTGCACAACTGTGGCATCCTGGCAGGTGACAAGAGTCGTTCTTAAGCGATCACACAAATCATCAGAGGCCAGTGGTTCCAGAGCATTTGGTTGAGAAGACGACGCAGCACTGCTCTCCCCAATAATACCGCTACCAGAAGCGGGTTCCAGAGTAGATCTGCCATTCCCTCCGGTTCGCCTTCCCCGCGCAAATCCCTGCATCTCCATATCCCCTGTGATGGGGACGAGAGGAAGAGGGGTTGCGCTAGCAGTAGTAAGAGTTTCCCGCTTCTCAGATGCGATGGTACTCGTCAGTCCGATGAAGTGGCGACTGATAACTCGGTGCCACCAGAATGCGCGCGAGGCCCTCAGATTGCAGTCGATTATGCGAATTAGTAGAGTGAGCACTGGTGGACATCTAGAAGTGAGATACACAGTGGAATAGTACTCCATGAAGAAGGAACGTTGAAGCCGTCTGAGAAAGGTGCAATTTGAAACAAACAAAATGAAATGGGATTTCCACGCCACTAACTGCCATAGATGCATTTTGGGCGTAAAATCTGCAAAAGCTTCTGAATTAAAATGCTATCGTATCCAATTTAATAGTGAGACAAAAAAGATTTATTAAGGAATGTAAGTCGAACCTGTAGACTCTCTGATCCACGGCCATGACAATGTTTTCCACGGGATCTTTCAGAAGGTCATGATGAGTCAGCCTCGAATATGTCTCCTTTTTGGAAGATAAGGCTTTAACCGTTAACACTTCGAGTCTAAATGTCGGGAAAAAAGTTTAGAAAAATACAATATTAAGAAAGATCAAATTACACATTACCTCTGACCGCAATGTATCGCCTAGCTTTGTCTTGAGAGAAATTTTTGCGAGCCACCAAACAAATCACGGATTTCATTGATTTCCACCATGTTGGAACCCACACACCAGTACAATCAGCTCGATGACACATGATTGAAAAAGCCATGGCCAATGGATGCAAGAGAGATTAAACCACAGACAACAGCTGGATATGAAAGCATTTGAGCATACATTCTTATACTAGCCAAGTGGTATGTCCTCCAAGCATCGGATCAGTTCTCGAAGGATGTAAAAAATGCCCTTCCTCACACCCTACCTTATCCTCGATTATGGTTCATTACCGTGATTCGTAACTATAATGCATTTCCTTGTTTGAGAACAATTGAGAACCCAGTGGAATGCACTTATAACCCAAAACGATGTACCTGCGAGGCATGAGGCAATGGAGACTGCGCCAGAGGAAACAGACAGCAGAGGTGAAGCGCCGATTACCCGATAGTGCAGCAGTCTCAAGTAAAATGCGAGGCAGACGGCAACCGATAGCCTCCGCGTAAGGCAGTAGGTGGCGCAGACGCGAGAAACCCCTCTGCCTATTCACCGTTTCAACGAGCGCATTCACTGCACGAATACACGCGGCTGCGGCAGACTTGAGACTGTCCAGAGAGGCACCTGGTGTCAGGATTTGGTCGAGGACTGCAAAGAAGAGGATCTACTAGAGACGAACATCGGAAGTGTGGAGCGCAACGATGAACACGTGAAGCACACAAAGCAAAATTAGCGACGTCAGCACCACCCGTTTTCTGGTGCACGATAATTTCGTAAGCGCCCACCGATAGTGTCATTCGCTCGGACCAATCTACGGAGCCGAAACAAAAGACCAATGTGGTTTTGTGCTTTAACTATCATCAAATTCGTACATTACTGATGGCCCATGTGACAAGAATAGCCCATATGAGTTTTCTTCACGTTCTAATGCTCTAAAAACGCCTTGCGGGAAACGATTAAGCATCAGCGAGCTCATTCGGTACGTGGAATCAGGAAGAGCTATAAAAATATTTAAAAGTTAAGCCAATCTCGAGTCAAATCATGACATGCTTTGCTTCATGCAAAGCCAGAAAGAGAACTTCCAGTCGTATCCCGCTTTGACTTTCCAAGGGTTTCCAGTGTGATATGTTGTTAGGGAATAAGCGTAGTAATAGTCAAAAAGCATGATCTTATATGACACATTAGAGGTCTTTTTGCCACCTGTCTTGAAAGGAAGGCACAAGGAGATCCGACACATCCACCTAATTTCTAAGCATAAATTTCCCATGGTTCCTTCGTCAAAGTATTATGTATTCACCACATATAGCGGAATTGCATTCATATATCTTAATTCATCTACAAAGATCTCTATGAGAGAGCGCTTTATTTCAAAGCTAGGCGCTCTCGTACTCTACTTTGTGCTCCTGACATACTCTGTCTGCAAAATGCGTAGGACAGAGGAGTGTTTCTTTCGATGCGACTAGTCTGCCTTCAGAGTGACGTACCTGATGCTGAACGACAAGAACAGCCAACATGATTTTGATAACAACCTTAGATACCAGCAATTACTCCTCCTCCTTCAACGGAATATTGAAAAGGGACTGAATGTAAATAAGAAGACAACGTGGTCAAAGCCATTACAACCACATAAAGGTACACTGTGCACATAAATAAAACACTGCTTCGACCGGCAAGCTTAGCTGTCTAGAATGGACACTACCCTAACTTTAAACTATAAACAGCTACTCCACAAGGCGGTCACAATTACATCAAACCCAAATTGCAATTAACTTGCAAACGTAAGCATTAGAACACATAGAATCAAGCAAATCTACAACTCTGGATGCTGTAATCACCAATCGACATTAAAACCAGACCTTCACAAAGGATAGAAGGGACTTTGCACATAGAATAAGCTTGCTTCTTCATTGTGTGTTCATCATAAGAGAAAGCAACGACCCATAGCCTCTCACCTTTATGGACAACTGACCTGAAAGAAGTTCATTCGGTAATGGTGCCTTGGTGGGCGTAGCAAAATGTCCCGCAGCGCAGAAACTATTGAAGGACTGGAAACTCGAGGCAGACTTCCAGAGGGGATCGAGGAGTAATTCATCCTGAATGGTCAGCTCTCCTACCGTTAGATGAGGCCTGTGCTCCGTCACCAACCTATCCAAGGAAATCAACATCAGGCGTTCACTTCAAATTTTTATCAGGTTGATTAGGCAAGTATCAAGGATAATGATCCCCTGTGGACAGCACGATCCGAATAACTGCTTTCACCGCACGCGAACTTTGGCAAATGGAAAGTAATTATATCAAAAGGAGCAGGGTGAGATTTTTAGATGAAAATTTCATCGAGTAAGGGCGGTGCAACTGAGAAAAGGGGTTGGATGTGAAAATGAAAAGTGCAACTGCAAGAAAGTGTCAATTAGCTAAGGTACAAAAACTTTTTTCAAATAGCAAGAAGTTTAACTAAGCTAATGTACGAGTACCGCCTTCGAGGTAATGGTGATTAGTAAGTTAATGTCAAACTGGAGGTGTAAACCCACTGCAGTAGCCGAGGATAAAGCTGGCGATAAGAACTGAGGTTGGAGCGTGCATATTGTAGCAGATAGGTGATCGGAATAGCGTCCCAAAGCTTGTCCGAAAACTGCGACAGCGATGCCTTTGCTTGAGACCCTGTATAGCAGAACAATGCTTCCGATTACATACAAGAATGCACGGAGTCTCGTCCATCTTCCACGATTAAGCCTTCACGCTAGGAGGATTGAGCTCTGCTTCACCACTTCTTTATTTCCCCTAATCGTTTATGCTATTTATTCACAAATGCATTCTGTCTTATAATGTCTCCTATGAACAACACCTGCATAAAACCGGAATAATGCTACGCAATGATTATGATTTGCTTTGAGGTTGACAATACGTGACGATTAATTTTTCGTAGCACGAAATAAGCATTCACACATATGTGCGCCAATTTCAAATACTTCTAACGCCGAGTAGGGAAGCAGAAAGGACACTTATTCGATCAGTGGGACGATAACTAACCACCAAAAGGCACTGGTCAAATTTATGTTAATTGCACAGACACCAATAAGAGGCAGAACATTACGCCGGAACACTCACGCTGGTTTCCCCGATTATCTGTGCTCCGGGAGCTCAACTCCTGATCGTAGATATAAAGCATGTAATAGAGAAAAAGGAGTTGAGGCGTCAGATCCATTTGAACAGCGTCAGCAACAGAATCAATGGCAAGGTCGGTGACAAAACCGGTGGCGCCAGGTGCGCACATGCGGGCATCGGGTCCAAAGGCGGGATCGGAGAACTGGACGAACAGCTCAGCCTCCGTGAAAGGCACGCAGCCGCCGCACGCACCTATCATCTGACTGCTGGCCAGGCCGACCGTCTGTGTCAATGCATTGGTGACGTAAATCTCCAGGAGTTCAAGCATCAGCGGGTGCAATGGACGAACACTCGCGCAAATCTGACGGTATATCCAGCCCTGTCAGTCAAGCACGAGAAGCGCACTCGTATTAGCTAAGGCTCTTGAATTCAGTGCAATCCACCAAATTGTCTTCAAAATAAACTACTCTCAGGACCTGAAGTGGCGTGCGCAGTTAGACCAAAACCGTCTTAGGATTGTGATTATCGTCTCCAGCACGCGCATATTTAAAATCGTACGCTCAACGTTGCAAACATCAGACTAAACCAAAACCTACTCCATTACTTTGAGTGATGAATTTAATCATATTTAGTGAAGTTATTAATTGTAGACGTCTTTCGAGTCGTCGCTTTATGAAATGGTTAACTTGTTAGAATAAGTTCTCTCATCGAATAAGAGCACTATTCAACAATAAATTGAAACTCAAACCAGTAAATCAACTAAAGTAAGTTAAAAAGACTTACTTTAATCTGGACTCTATTTTTATTGAAAGCATGGTTCTTCAAAAGTTGAAAAACGCAGTGAATGGGGAGATTACCGGTTATGTGAGCGTTCAAACAGGCGGTGACAGGGACATGGGCAGCCTGTGCAGCTATAGACTAAAACGATAGAGCAGTGATGATTAATCACTTCAAAATTAGCGGGCACACCTGACACGTGAAGACTTTCTGGGCAAAGAGCTTCCGAGAAGCGGAGATGTTGCGCACAAAGCAGGGAGCATCGATGTCAAGAGTGTTGACGATGATGTCGCGAATGGTGGTTGGGTGGCTATCGTTAAAGAGTAGTCCAAATAGAAGAAGAACCTCAGAGTAGGAAGACGATTGACGCAAAGATGTGTGGAAAATATCCTGACGAGATATCAGACGCCGAAGCCAGACAACAAGCTGCTCCTCCGTTTCCCCACTGCTGGCCTCATTAAGACCGACAGAATTACTAACAAACAGGAAAATTAGGTTTAATAAGTACAATAAAGGAGATTATTCGGCAACGTACCACAACTTACTCGAATAAACAAGATCGGAGCCCAATTATGAAAGCCAAGCAAAAGCATATGAAGTTAACAGCCTTTTCGCTTCTGCCTGTAGGATGAGTAATCAGGTGCAGAACGAAAGAACGCAGCTTTGATGAAAGCCTGTAAAACAAAGAAGAGGAAGCTAAACGGAATTGGCTTTTATAATTCTACGGTTAAAAGGAGAACGTACACGAAGCCAGTATGGCCACACAAAGCTGCGATCGTTCGCAAAAATTCTAATGCAGGGAGCAATTGCTCTTTGGGTAGGACAGCCTTCGAATCATCTAAAATCCCTGAAATAGCCGACAAAATCTTCTCGTTTACATCAGCAATAAGTGTGGGATTCGTCTCCTGGGAGAAAATGAAATATAATGACCCAAGGAAAGGGAAGATAAAGCGGAAACTAGTGAAAACTCACCCAAGCGGATTTTAGGTATTCACCAAACCATGATTGGGTTTTTCGACCTTGGTCAAGTAAAACTCGTTTAAAAAAATTAATTAAAGAAAAGTTTTCACCAGTGTTGGACTGTTTTATTGCCAACTGTATAACCAAACTTGGCAACTGTCGAAGTTGGATCTATAGAAGCATACGTTTACAAAAAAGTACAAATCAATGAGCAACACACGGACAGGACTCGTACTTACGCATTTATTCAAAAGTCCATTCATATCAGGAACGAAAGTGGACAGGTGATGCAACACTGCTAGACAGCGAGCACTTCCCTTATGGTCAGAATTGCCTTTAAGAATTGAAATACGTCCCAGAAGACATTCGTAAATGTCGTACCACTTCTCCGGAAAATTAAGAACAAGGCGTTCAATTAAAAGGCGAGAATTGAGAGCACAATGAATGGAAAGACCCGCTATCACATCAGGCAAAATGTCAGTGTTGTGCAATCCTAAAGGGGAAACATGGATCAGGATGCAAAAACAATTAACTAACCAAGAAGAACTGCAGATGTAATTGCTGTTATAGTGTCTAACAGAGTGGGTGATTCCAAGAGAGAACAGCATCGGTAGGATTCACATTGCTCATCCGCATCCTAAGCCACGATTTGTCAGCAATTTACAAAATAACCTCATGCAAAACATGCTCGAGTTGTTGAGCAACCAATTTTACTTTCGACTCTACAGAATTATGAGCCTCAAAATCGTTATAAGTATACACTCTAGACCTCAGCGGTACCTGCGTGGTAACCCTATATAATAAAACAGGGATAGTTAGACAAACCTCTTCAAAGTATCAAGCAGGCTGGTTTCCCAAACCTTTTTAATATCGACAACCGCTAAGCTATCCAAAACATGCAGCAATTCCACGACCGTCATCAAAAGAGATGGCTCTTTAAACTTTTCAACTATGAAACTATCCAGGTTTTCAACGGTGAAATAAACACGGGGGAAGATAGCAACCAAAGAAAATTCGTCTAAATCCTGGTATGATTGCGTTTGAGATAAAAGAAAGATTTTGTTTAAGGCGAAGGTCAACATCTTCAGTCACTAATACGGCGAAAATAGCCACGATTATCCAGCAGAAGTAGACAAGAAGGACAACAACCGAAAAAGCCACCAACGCAAACACCAATTATAAACGAAGAATACACAAAAAAAGAACAGCAAGCGAAATATTTTTCTAAAACTAATCTGCATTATTGCGTAAAAAAGGATTTAAAAATTTCAAAAA